CGTAAAAAACGACCAAATACAGCAACAAAATAACGTTCAGAGCGGTATTCCCTTGGCGAGGTCGACGCATTTTAATATGTGAAAACGGGTTCACTTGCATGACGATGAAAAAAAAGTCCAAGTTGCGTCAAACCCTCGGACAAATTCCGTCCATTATCTATCTAGGCATGAGTCAGAGTCTCCGTCGCGGCTGCACACTACGAGCTCACGTACCTGACAAACAGGTGTATCAGGAAGTGAATAATCGGGAGTGAAACTACACCAAGCCTATTTTTATGCTTACTCTAAGGGAGGATAAAAGTTGACATGTCGTAATACAATTTTCGAAGTGACTGACCAATGTGTTGGTGAATAATCTTTCGACTACTTTAATACCCCATTGAAATAAAATACGCTTAAAGGGAACAGCCATAAATGTGTCAAATCAATGTGTGTAGAAACACGCTTCCTTTTTGAAAAAAAAGTTCTTATTTTAACCTATGTCACCTGACAAATATATAGTGAATATGATAAGTCCCAAAGGAGCAAGTGGGGCGGGGGGGGGGGGGGGGGTTATAATAAAAAAATAACAACAAAAAAGTACTAACTCAGCCCTTCAGGAAATGTAAAGTCCCTACATGTAATTGGATTTTCGAGGAACTGTATATGTTTGATTTAAATTGGGTATTGGGGGTGGAGTTTATTAAAGTTGTGTGTGATTTTTGAATGAAGAAATTAAACTAATTCTGAAAATAATATTTGTGAGTTGGTTAGTTTGCCTAGCCTGATGATCATGAGAATGAGAGCATTAGCATGGGACTGTAGATTAAACACAATCTTTGAAATGCATATGCTGTCAACCCAAAAATGAAATCATATTGAAACCTGAACCATATTCTCTGCTCACATGTCAATTCTCTCTTATAACCCTTTGAGTTGAGGCCCAGTCTTCAGTCTTATCTCCCAGGCCAGCTATTCCATCAAGCCACCAAAGCTCTTATGGGACTCTCCTGCTATTTTTAGGCATATTACTCCTCTATCCCAGTCCAATCTCCTGTCTTTACTGTTGTGATTATCTCTAATGGGAGAAGTTATTTGTTTTTCTAGCCTTTGCCGGTTCAGTTTTACTCTGGTGTAATGCTTTATCTCTCCACTTCATGTTTATACAGAGTCCTTTTGAAGTTGAATTTGCCTTTTTTTGGTCTGGATTTGTACTTACATCTTTACTTCCATATGGTCTGCCAGGAGTGTTTCCTCCATCCTGACAACAGAGAAGCTGTAGTTGTCTTGTGTAACCTAATTTAATTGCAGGGCACATCAGAGAATATAGGCTGAGAATCATCAGCTACTCTGCGCCCTCAAATGCACTGTGTAGGCCAGGGCTATTCAATTGGCGACCCGCAAATAATACTGTATTCTCTGAAAAAAATCTAATTGGATAGCAAAATAGTTTCACGTATTGTTGATGAGTATTAGAAAAATGCATAATGTTCATGGTAAACATTGCACCCTAACTTGATTACCAACACATTTCCAAAGGCTCTGCAATAAGGGAATGTGAAAGAAAAATGGGTTCTCACGAAATGGATATTAATAACTTTATGTGAATAACTGCCTGACTAACTTCTAGTTTACTGCAGACCATGTACATCATTACTGTGAGAAAGGGCACGAACAGATGGAAACAGGCATAATAAAGAGGAAATTATGGTCAAATCCATGTTTTATTACCTCTTACAGACATTCAGCAATTTCTTAATAGAAGGGTGAAGCAATGTGCAAAGCTTTGTTGCTTCATGCTCTTACCTGGCTGTACTTTGTGTTTATGTTCGGCAACATTTATTGCAAATCTCTTTGGATGCTGGGAATTTAAAGGGAGTTGGCACAGGCTAGCTCCTCCCTGCATCCATTCACACAGCACAGTGTGTGTAATGTATATGTTAACTATATTATTTAACATTTCCCACACTCAGGAAGGGATACCACTTCCTTTTTTGAAATCATGCTGAGTCAAAGGACTTACCTTACACGGGAGTGTTCACAAATTCTGCATTTAGCAGTGTTGTATTGTGTGTAACTATAATATATAATCTACTTGAGTTTGATAGAGACTATCCCATATTGGAAGATAACATATAATGCCTCTTACCTGGGTACTTTCACACGCCCACACACATTGTGTTATGTACTGTGTGTGTGAATACAGGGGCTCTCTGTCTGGTTACAGTAGAGATGTCTCAGTTTCAGCTGAAATCATCTCAGTCACAATGAAGGCTCACCCCACTTTATCTGGTCAACAATAGCCCTGTTCTTCTGTTGTCAACACTGGAGGGGACTAATACAGGTGATTTAAATTGTTGGGGCCAGAAGGTGAATATAACCATTATCCTTCAGCCAAATTGAATATGAGAGTATTTTTATTAATTTAAATGCACACTTTGCACTGAATAGTTGATGAACAGTTGTATCTTCAACTCTCCAATACACAGGGGGTATTTTAAAGGTTTCACATACAAATACACTTTTCTCATGGCTGTCACAGACAAGTATGACAGCCTAACACTTGAGCCACTATCTATAGGAGGCCCTAATCTATTCAATACACTAGGGAAAATACCTTTAGATGTTATGGATCATGTGTATAGGTGTGTGTGTGTGTGTGTGAAGATGGGAGGACATCTGACAAGTCACAGTGTGACATTCCATCCTTTACTTACATGCTTGTAAGGTAATTAGTTTTGAAGCAACCTGTCATGTCAAGGCTGTGCGTTTGTGTGTGAGCAAACAAATGAGTGTTTGTTAGTTTGTGTAAAGGTATTTAGTGCCTCTCCACAACACTGTGCCAGGTACAACCCATCCCAAGGTGTGGAATGCTGACTGAAAAGAGAGAGAGATTAAGCAAGACAGAAACTGAGTCTGAGAGGGAGTAAGAAAGACAGACTTCATTTCCTCATTAGTGAAGACTGCTCACAAGCTTTACTTCCTTTATCAAACAAACCCAGCATTAGTCTATTCTTCAAAAAAAATGATTAATGTGAGTTGCAGTAAAAAACTTGTTTGTGGTAGAGAATGGCTTATTAAGTGAGTCATGCACAAGGAATGGTTGAGAACACCTTGCCCGGAGCATGGTTCACAAAGCCTGGTATTATCATTAGATTTAACAGCAAGATAGATGGATATTGATGCTAAAAAGTATGTCCAAATTAAAAGGTTTCAGGCTATTGTATAAGCAGAAGGAATGTGATGTGTTGGGAACAAGAGGTAATATCTGCCTGGTGTTCCAGATGATCGCTAAACTGTGTCAAATGTGTATTTTCTCTTTATTTTCTACTTTGCCACCTATTCATTTTGGAAACCCCCAATGTTCTGTGTGTTATACTGCATTCATCATGCAAAGATCTGATGATTAGATTATTCTATTTCTAGGCAGTGCTTCACATTTATTTGTCACATAAGTATCAGTTTTCCATATACTGTATGTTACTGTGTCGTAATGTTTTTAAGCTTAAGAAACTTGAATAATCCCTCACAAAATAAACCCTTCACATATGTATGTCCTCACACCACAATTGATTGCTAGGGTGCCACATTAATTTGAGGCCAATGTCTAGGCTCTGCCAGAGTAATTAACAGCCATTTTGTTGATACAAACAAGATTATCTCCAGATCCTACTGTTGTTTTATCTGTTCAATATTAGTGGCCTTTCTCTAAGACAAAATGTAATTATTTAGCTTGGGTAAACAGACTTGGTTTTCCGCCCAGTCTGTCTCTCTTTTTTCAAACGTTAGTCAACCATGCTCTGCCCCTACTCTCTCTCACACTGACACACACACACACACACACACACACACACACACACACACACACTACATGTTCAGTGTCTATTCTTTGTATATTGACTGCAGTTGTTCATGTATACCAGTAGTCTGATACAATATTTACAGTTTGAAAGGGTGTTAAATGAAATTTGGTGATGATTAATGGTTTTTGTGTTAATGTAATAGCAGTTAAAACAGGACCGGTCAAATTAAAGGGGGGGGAAACAAAGACAAAAGGAGGGTTAATGTTAAAAAAATACATTTATTTTCTCATACTGTGTGTCTAAATATAGCTATATTCACCATCTGTCTGAAACGCTCTAATTCAGAGCCTTTCTCTTTAAGCTAAATCACCCACAAATGCCCGATCTGCTCTGATTGGCTTTCAAGAAAAATAGCTTTCTATCCGTTTGTGAAGATACTCAGATTGGGGCAGTGTATTCTAATGAGCCTACCTTTTATCTTAATCTTAACAAAGAGTCTTAATTCATTTTAAAGACCCGATCTACGCACGATAGGCAGGTGAATCTTGAATGAGGGTTCAATGAAAGTAAATGACAGCGTCACAGGTCATTTCCATCTACATTTACATCCCGCCCGGTCCACTACAGAATTAATTATTCAATACTTTATGCAAAAAAACTGCGTTGAAAAACTAAAACATGATTCCACGGTCAAGAACGTGAAGACTTCCAACAGATTATTAGCGTACAAACTCCTTTTGGACACGCGCACTAAAAGATGTTTAAAGGCACTATTACCTGGTATAAATAATTTTATAACAGAAGAATAGAAAACAGAATCATAGCCTTAACAAAGTCCAAGAATATCAGTAAATACAAAACTATACAAAAATGGAAATATTAATTTAAATGTTATTAAACAACTACATTAATCTGTGATACCAAGAGAACATTTTCTCTCAAGTAGGTGCGTCATTGGCTCTTGGACATAAGAAGGATGGCCAATTCTGAATTGCTTGCTGAGTCATGATTTCTGACCAAGGCAGCACACCAAAAACAGATTGTTTTATTGCTAAGGGTGGTTTGAACTCCATACTTTGTACAAACATGGGTATAACTACACTTTATATATACTCATTGTATATGTGTTTTTGTTCACTGGGCTTTCTTAAGTCCTTGTGCACATACTTCAGATACAGTATGTGCACCAGGACTTAAGAAAGTTTCTTTGATGAATTGTCCTCTTTAAATCGATCATATTTCTGCACTTGTACTCACAGACTGGATGAGGGCCGGTCCAAGGGTGTCATTAATGTGACCGACAGCTTTGGTTACACCTAGCGCAGGAAAATAGAGATGTGTCAGTTTGTCGTCTTTCATGTCACAAAACCACAGACTAAAATGCTCATGGCAAAAGTAGAAGAGGAGAGACAGAAGCACAGAGGACATGTCTTGGTTTAAGTGTTCACCTTTGCCCTTGTAGCGAGTTTTGTCTCCATCACGGAGCTCCAGAGCCTCGTAGATACCGGTGGACGCACCGCTGGGAACTCCAGCCCTGAACACACCTGGAGAAGACGTTTTATCTTTGTAAGTCGAAGGTTTAAAGGTCAAGGAGGGCAAGAGAAGGTAAGAGAAAGCTTTTTTAACCTAACCCTAACCATGATGCTTTTCCAAAGTTAACATTAGACAAGGTTCACTGTCAAGCAAAAGCACAGCTGACAGAACAAATACAAAATGAAATGAATGATATTTTAATGGATCTTTCTGTACCTTTGCCAGTGTGCAGATCTACTTCCACAGTGGGGTTTCCCCTGGAGTCCAGGATCTCCCTGGCAACAATATTAACTATAGACATCCTGCGCAAAAAAGAAAGAAAATAGCTTTATTTAAACATTTGTGCTATACATTACAACGCAGTGCCAATACACCAAAATGTATCTTCTTATGTAGGGTTGTTGAGAAAAAGGATGAGCGGGGGATTCGGTGTACGAAGAGACGGATGAAAATAGAAAATAGCCAATGTTAAAAATGCATTTCATTTAAGCTAACAGCCTCAATTTCCATCAGTCACGAGGACTTCACACTCTCTGCCGAACATTGTGATGATAGTGACGCAGCCTTAGGGATGACAGCCTGTGGAAAAGATGCTAGCACACACACACACACACACACACACACACACACACACACACACACACACACACACACACACACACACGCGCACACACACACACACCCACACACACACACACCCACACACACACATATACACCTCCGTTGCACAGAGAAGGAAACATAAATCAAAAGCTAATAATCCATACCTATTTATGAACCAACTGTCAACCTGTTCCGGACCACAAACCAGTAAAATGTCTCTGCTGATTCAGGCAGTGACAGAGAATGAGGACCAATGGAGGGATGAGACGGTGAAAAAACACAGAGCAGGAGGAGATGAGGAGGAAAAAAGGAGGAGGGATTGAAGACATAATAGATCAATCTTTTTCAACATTACCTGCAGAGTGTTGGAAGCCTGGTGGAGAAAGCGAGAGGATGTGGGCGAATGAGAGGGAGAGACAGAGGGATGGGAGGTGGGAGGAGAAGGGGGAGAAAACGTACGACACGCAGGGGGGGAGGGGGAGGTGTGAGTCATTGGAAGATGCAGAGAGGGGAGGGGAGCCAATGAAACGAATAAAAAGAAAGAGGAAGAGGGAATGGAGTATAAAAGCATTTGCATTTCATTGGTTTAAAGCTCCCCTATTATAATGTATTTCATCAATATATTACAGGTCTCAGATATATATAAAACATGTCTCTGAAGTGTTTGGCTCCAAACACCAAACAGATCATTGCAGCATCCCATAATCCCCTCTGTTTCAGCCCTGTTTCAAAAGTGCTGATTCTCTGTCTGTTACTTTAGATGAAAATAAGGAGTCCCTCCCCTCTGAGAGAGATTTGGTTAAAAAGAACATAATAGACATGTTCACACCGGAGTACTTTTCCCACAAAGGTTCATCAGAACTCTTTAGTTCTCATGAACTAAGTACAGATCGCGTTCACACCGGAATAAGTCCCTGGGAGAAGATTAGTCAAATGAAGCCGCTGACGTCATTTCTTCTTCTTCTTCTTCTTCTTCTTCTTCTTCTTCTTCTTCTTCTTCTTCTTCTTCTTCTTCTCCTCTCGGTTTTTTGGCGGATTGCAAACAACTTTAAGGTGCATACCGCCACCTCCGGAGTCGGCTTGACTCGGTTTGCATTTATAAAGAATGCACACATGTGTTTAATCTTTAATGTCAGATATGTACTAAGTAAATACATGTGTTCCTGCTCAAGATTAGATTCAACTTTATTGTTATTGCACATATTACAGGTACTGAGACAACGAAATGCAGTTTAGCTTCCAACCAGGAGTGCAACAAGCAGTAAAGTGAAAAGTAATGTACACAATCTACAGAATAAAATATAGAATGACTTGAATGATGAATAAACAGTGAGGGGTATTAATACACTAGATATACATAGCAGCCTGTGAGCAGTATTAACAGTGTGTATGAATATGCTAAGATAAAGTATGAAAACGGGAAGCAGTCCAAGTATAGTATAAAATATATAGATATTAATTTCATGATGATAAACATTGTGGAACAAACAAATGACCAGACCGTTCACCAGCCCCCCACGTTGATGTGAACTCTTTGTTTAAAACGAATTGGCCACCGGAATGTGTGGAGGAATTCCCCCAAGGGGGATGGTCGCATTCCACA